CTTGGAACAACATAGGAGACTGGAAACACTAAAAATAGGTTTAATCATATTATAATTATCACATGTAAAATATTATATGTTATAATTGTAATATATTTATCGTTTGTAAAGATTGATTTTTTGTGCTTTTGAGTATGTCCTAAAACTGTATAAAGACTTAGAACTATACACTAATAAGAATAATGGAAAACCAAAGTGAAAGGCAGTGCTCCAAGTGTTGTAGAATATTAGGAGTTGAAGAGTTTGAAGGTGAAAACAAAAACTGTAATAGGTGTTTAGAACACAGAAGAACATGTTATGAAAAGCATAAGGAAGAATATAGGGCAGAAGCGAATAGAAGGTGGAAGGAAGATGAAGAGTATAGAGAAAAGAAAATGGAAAGGAATAAACATTAGGAACAATAAGTTTATCTTTGTAGTGAGTGTGATTTGTCTATGTATTTGAGAAATAAAGCAAGGCATGAGAAAACAAGTAAGCATCAGAGAAATATAGTTGTAAAGCTGAATAATGAAATGTGAAAGGTGGAAATATTAGGTGAAATGTGTTTTAGTCATATTTTTAAGTCTGAGTGAAAAATTCGTGAACAATGAATAAGGTAAAAAGAAAAAATGAAGAACAACTGGAGTTTCTGAGAATTGGAAAAAGACTTAAAATATAAAATGAATAAGGGTAAACAAATAGTAAAATGAAATAGGTTAAGTAGTGAAAAAATAATGGATAAGGTGTGTATCTTTTCTAGGAATTACTTAGAATGAATAAGGTTGTGATTTATTAACCTTATCTATTAGTTGATACTTGGTTTTTCAATGTGTTTTTCATTGGTTGATAGAAAAAATACAGAAAGGATTTTCAGTTCCTTCAAATCCCCTTTCTGTATTTTTTCCCCCCCCCCCTCCCGCTCCAACCGCGCGGCAATTTGATGACGTTCCACTAAACGTAGTCTTCGGGGAGCCGGTGTCGCAAAACAGGGGTCCCAGGCTCGATTCCCCCTGCCGGCTTTTTTGCTGGCTTGGGCTTCCTGCCTCCTGTAGCCGAAAATCTGGCAAACTCTGTGTTTTTGGACGTCCTCAGTGCGAAAACGCAGGAAAAACGTGTTTTTGCGGGAAATACTGGGGAGCAAACATACATACATACATTACATTACATTACATTACATTACATTACATTACATTACATTACATTACATTAAATTACATTACATTACATTACATACATTCATTACATACATACATTACATACATTCGTTACATAACATAACATTACATTACCTTACATTACATGAATACATACATTACATTACATTACATTACATTACATTACATACATTACATTACATACATACATTACATACATACATACAAACATACATACATACATGCATACATACAGGCATTGCACACATACATACATACATACATACATACATACATACATACATGCATGCATACATACATACATAGATACCTACATACATACATACACACATACATACATACATACATACATACATACATACATACATACATACATACATACATACATACAAGACATACACACATACATACATACATAACATAACATAACATAACATTACATTACATTACATTACATGAATACATACATTACGTTACATTACGTTACATTACATTACATTACATTACATTACACACATTACATTACATTACATACATACATTACATACATACATACATACATACATACATACATACATACATACATACATACATACATACATACATACATACATACATACATACATTACATACATACATACATTACATACATACATACATACATACATACATACATACATACATACATACATACATACATACATACATTACTTACATACATACATACATACATACATACATACATACATACATATACATACATACATACATACATACATACATACATACATACATACATACATACATACATACATACATACATACATACATACATACATACATACATACATACATACATACATACATACATTACATACATACATACATACATACATTACATTACATTACATTACATTAAATTACATTACATTACATTACATTACATTACATTACATTACATTACATTACATACATACATACATACATTACCTATATACATACAATATAAAAATGCATACATACATACGAGAGAGGGAGATTGGGGAGAGAGAGGCTTGGGGGGATGGGGAGGCTGGGGAGCAGAGGGAGGGAGAGAGGACGACAGAACACACAAGGGAGACAAGGGAGACAGGAAGAAGGAGAAAAGGGAGAGGACAATGTCGGCGGACTGAGCCGGAGGCTGTAAAGTTTAAATGTTAGCAGTTAAGTGTTTTTCCCGAAAGCATGGCGAAGGGTTCTTCCGCTGTCACTTGAGTTGTTCTCATGAAAGTCATTGCAAGGAGTCATTGCAAGGAGTCATTGCAAGGAGTCATTGCAAGGAGTCATGAGAGTCATTGCAAGTTGCAAGGAGCCAAGTGCATGGAGTCAAGTGCAAGTTGCAAGTGCACGGAGTTAAGTGCAAGTTGCAAGTGCAAGGAGCCAAGTGCAAGTTGCAAGTGCATGGAGTCAAGTGCAAGTTGCAAGTGCATGGAGTCAAGGCAAGTTGCAAGTGCAAGGAGTCAAGTGCAAGTTGCAAGTGCAAGGAGTCAAGTGCAATTGACTTGCGAGGAGTTAAAATCTCTTCTTAGGGCGGCGGGGTAGTGCCGACGACACTACACGAAAATCGACACTGTGCGGGGATTGGCGTGGTCGAGGTGCAAAAACTCGTGGTTTTTTACGATTTTGTTTGGGCCCGCGCGACCCTCTGCGGGGATCGGCGTGGTCGAGGTGCAAAAACTCGTGTTTTTTTTTGCGATTTTGTTTGGGCCCGCGCGACCCTCTGCGGGGATCGGCGTGGTCGAGGTGCAAAAACTCGTTGCTTTTTTGCGTGATTGGGCCCGCGCGACCCTCTGCGGGGATCGGCGTGGTCGAGGTGCAAAAACTCAAGGTTTTTTTTTTACGATTTCTGCGGTGCTCGCGCGACCCTCTGCGGGGATCGGCGTGCAAAAGCTCGAGGTTTTTTACGATTTCTGCGGTGCTCGCGCGACCCTCTGTGGGGGTCGGCGTCGAGGTGCAAAAACTCGAGGTTTTTGCGACTGTTGTTGTTCGAACTGGTCCTCGGGAATTGTCTCGTGGTTCGCGCGCCTGCTCCCGGGACCGGCGGGTCGCGGGTTCGATTCCCCCGTAATCCGCGGCGCTTCGCAAGCTGCACGGAGCAACTTGCATAAAGCAACTTGCGCAGAGCAAGTTGCACAGACCATTTTGTGCGCAGGGCAACTTGCGCAGAGCAACTTGCACAGACCAGTTTGCGCAGAGCGCCTTGCCTAGAGCAACTTGCGCAGAGCAACTTACGCAGAGCAACTTGCACAGAGCAACTTGCGCAGAGCAGCTTGCACGGAGCAACTTGCAGGGAGCAAATTGCATGGAGCAATTTGCACAGAGCAACTTGCAGGGAGCCACTTGCAGGGACCAACTTGCACGAAGCAACTTGCGCGGAGCAACTTGCGCAGAGCAACTTGCGCAGAGCAACTTGTACAGAGACATTCGCACAGAGTCAGTTGCACAGAGCTTCTTACACAGAGCAACTTGCACAAAGCAACTTGCGCAGAGCAACTTGCACAGGGCAACTTGCGCAGAGCAGCTTGCACAGAGCAATTTGCGCAGAGCAACTTTGACAGAGCAACTTGCGCAGAGCAACTTGCGAAGAGCAACTTGCGCAGAGCAACTTGCACAGAGCAACTTGTACAGAGACATTTGCACAGAGTCAGTTGCACAGAGCAACTTGCACAGGGCAACTTGCACAGAGCAGCTTGCACAGAGCAATTTGCGCAGAGCAACTTGCACAGAGCAACTTGCACAGAGCAACTTGCACAGACCAGGTTTGCGCAAAGCACCTTGCCCAGAGCAACTTGCGCCGAATGGTCACGGGGCTGTGATGCTTTCGGGCCAACCGTGGCCTAGTTTTACGACTAAGTTATAATAAGCAAAAATGAAAAATGTTAGCAGTTAAGTGTGGTTTTTGTTTTTTTTACTCAGCCACAATAAGCAAAATGAAAAATGATTCCCAACAACCACCATGGTCCCCTCTAAACATCCACCCAAAGGGCCCCTTTCAAAGGCCCAAAAACGGCGATGCTTGAAATCAGTTCAAGGGAAACATAGGGCCTTCCTGGCAACACCGACTCCGAATGACGGTGAAGGTCAGCCTTATCTCTCATCTCCTTGACCAAATCAAGACCCGCGAAACCTGGCCTTGCTTTACAATGTTAATGCTCCAAGTCAGCCCCGTTCATGAAGTGGTGGGCAAAAAGGGAAACCACCGAATCCATTTTCCCACTTGGATCCCCAACCGTCAAAAACCGCCTCACGCCAACCGGGAAACCGAGGCGCGGACGTCTTCTGCCGGGAGGCCACGTCGAGGAACCGGAGGCCGCCGGAGCCCAGCTAATCGGATTCGGGGGCCGAAAGGGCAACGGAAACCCGGGGCCGATGGTTTCACCCGGTGTTCTTGAACTTCCTCTTGCGGGGAGCAGTTTGGGAACAACAAAGACATATTAACACTGGGATTTAAAATGATGCACGACTTGCCATCACTTCCCTTGTGCGCTCTTGGCCGCGCTCAGAAATTGAACTGAATTGCTTGTGGCCACTTGAGGGATCTGCCAACTGCTCCCTGTTCTGCGCAAATGCCTCTTTTGTTTACCGCAAACGTTGACCCACCGATTGTCAAGGCCACGTTGCTTGCTTCTTCCGCATTGGAAGGCGAGGAAAATGCTGCCACTGCGAGTCGGTAACTCGGAATGTGCGCCCTCCGCTGCGTTATACAACGCGCTACCAAGCGCGCAGTAGAATGCGAGACTGGTTTTGCTTGGCTGGAGCGGTCATGTTGGCCCTTGAAGTGGCAAAACGCGAGATATGTGCAAAAACGCCAGCTTACAAAACCAGTCTTGAAACTGGCACTCGCGAGCGGCGCCTCATGCCAGCTTAGAGAACTTTGCCTCTCCACAGCTCATTAGCATCAACGCAACCTCGGGCCGATCCAATCCGAACAGGTATTGTCGCAACACGCATCCTGGCACCCAGACAGAACAACACTAGTAGCCATGATTTCACCAGTCTCGCTGATTGAAGACTGGGCTGTCCAGAGAATTGGAAAGGGACAACTCATGGAAGTCCGCAAACAAATACTCCTCTCAGCAAGGCCCTTCTGCATACTTGCGGTGCTTAGAAAGGGCTTGGCAGGCAGGCAGGCAGGCAGGCAGGCAGGCAGGCAGGCAGCTTGCAGATTCTCCGCTGTGCGAAGTCCAGCGCATGGCAGAGTGAACACTCAGAATCGAGTGGTTGCTAACCGCCAACTAGGTGCTCAGCACTCTCAGCAAGCACTTGAGACCGGGGGGGGAGGCGGGTACAGACGATGCATGAACGACTCAATATGCTGAGCGTGACTTCAACACTAAAGCCCCTGCTCCATGTAGCCTTAGGAACTGTCGAGTTCATGCGTGCATCCCAAGAGCGCCATTCCAACCCGAATGCAGCCTTGCTTGGAACCTCTGAATCATTGAGTCGCCTTCTTCTCGTAGTAGGCCGCCTCATTCACGAACAAGGCGTAGACAGAATCATACTTCTCAGGCACCTGCCGAACAGCGGGGCATTCTGCTTGTGACAGGCCAAAAATGTGAATCTGTTCAGCCGGGATGCTCCGAATATGGCTGTGGGTTAAAACCAATGGGACCATTTTGGGGTAGGTGCACCTCCAGTTTAGTCTATTTCAGTAGGGATTGGGATGTTCACTAGGTACGGACCCATGGCCATATTGCACCTGTGCCTAACACATCTTCTGGCCTTGAGAGCTTTCCTGTCAAACTTCTCCTCCTCGCCATCGAAGGTCATAAACAGCGGATCGCCTGAGCCCACATAGCTATGTTCCCAAGGACATGGGAACATCAGATTTAGCCACCGGGTTTGGACATTTCGTGAGTCGCAAGTCCCTCCCAGATTAACCATAAACATGTTGCTGCCTCTACAGTATCAATAAAACTCAGTGACCTGATCTGAATGCAAGGCCCTTGGCGAAAGCAAGCCTTTTTGCTTGCGAGAAGCGTACATCACCAGCGCTCCCATCTTTTTGAGTGGATGTTGCAACGGCGAGTGCGAAGTGGGCTCATCCCGAAGTTTGCCATGTTGAATCATGTTGTGAAGGTATCGCAAACCGAGGCCTCGGCCCAACACCAAGTGAGCGATGCCCAAAACCCGCTGACATTGGCTCTAAGAGATGGTCATGCAGGCTTATATAAGCCTCACGACAATCCCTAACAAACCAGGGTTCCGTACGTAGACCTTTGACAAAAATGGCCAGTTGGGCGCTGCTCAAGTCTCTTGGAATCCCTTTTCAGGGATCGCTCCGCTTGCTTTGAGGGTGTCTGTCTAGAGTCTAGTTGATTGCTGCCGTTTGGACTCGAATCCAATGTCCACTCACACAGAGGGCAAGAAGCTCGAGTAGTCACCTGGATCTGACAAATGGGTGTCACTTCTTTTGAGGCTATCCTTTTTGGGTTTGTTTACAGGGAAACACTCGTTCTTTCTTTTTTCCCCAACAGCTGAAAGCTTTGGAGTCTCAGCCCAGATAGGCTCCGGGGTGGTCCGGGGGGGCGACGAGGTTCTGCGAGGGCTGCGGGGTGGGCGAGCACTAAAAACAGCACCGCATGCTGTTGGGGATCTCACCCGAGCGTCTTTTTTTTTTGGGGGGGGGGTTCGCCTATTGCGGCCGCCGCGTTTGGTCGACACAAACCTGGGGCGATTTTTTTGGGACGCCGGGCCATCCCGGAGCTGCTTGAAGTCGCGCCCCTGCAGCTCCGGATGCACCTCGCAATGGCTAGGTCTAGTGGAGAGGTTAGAATAACGGTACCAACTTGTTTCTGTCTATTTTAGGGGAACCCTCCCCAATCAAAGAATAAAAGGGCACTGGGGGACCTAGTTGGAGACCCAACTTGCGATCGCTGCGATAGGTCTTTGTCTTTGCGACTCGCTCAGTGCAACCAAGTGCGGGGCGTTTTCTTGTCAGGGGGGGGGGTCAGGCCCCAAAAACAGCAACAGCTGTTGTGTGTCTGTATACTGCTTACAAGATCCTTACTGACAACGAGGATATCTCAGCAGAGTTCTTTGCTGGTGCAAATACTGGCAAGCTGAGCCTGGTGTGGATGCCCCTCTTCAGGAATTGACGAAGCCCAAAGACTTACGCTCGCTGCGATAGGGGAATGGTAACGAAGATGAACCCGAAGATGCCCTGGGAAACCACCAGTTGGATGGCTTATTTCGGGTTCATAACCCATTTTCTTCCTGAGCACCGGAACGGCTTGAGGTTCTTTGCTTTGACTAGCGGTACGAAGCCCCGGCTCACAAGGCTTCCCAATGTGCCTCTCAATAGGTTGGCTGGGAACATTTATGCTCCACTCTTAGGTTGGGGTCAACGGTATTCTCTGCGGGCCTGATTGGCCAGGCTTTGATTTGGTGGCAGTTGAGAGTTGCTCGGAGCTTGTTTCGGGTCAGTGTTGGTCTTGCTGAGATCTTAGCGAGGGCGGGTCTTGGGTTTTGTTTGGGGTTCACAACAGGCTCGGCAGAGGGCTGATAGCCAGGATGTTGTTGGTGGGTTTAAGGTTGCCTCGGCTGTTCTTGCTGTCTATGTTGGGCCATGTTTGTCCCGAGCGTCATGATCATTTCTAATCCCAATCCTCGGTTGTTGTTGACCGTTGCCAATGACCCAAGTTTGAGTTAATTTGACGATGTCAGGCTTGGGCCTAGAGCAGTGGGCAACAGTTCATATCGAAGACAAGTTGACATAGGCTTGCATCCGGCTTGGGTGAAATTTGAACTAGTAATCAAGGCCGGTACCCGTTACCCGGTCAGGAAGCTGTGGCACCTCTGAATGCGACGCCAACCGCTGCTGCTGCTTTGCCTGTCAGTCTCCTGCTGAATGTGAACAAATCCTATCAACCACGTCATTGGCCTAAGAAACGTCCCAAATGCTGGGTGATGTATGGCGCTGATCTATTGCGCAAGCCTCATGTTGGACGGGAGCGACAAATATCATGAGCAAAAAAGATCATGACAGCCAATCAAAAGCTCGAGCCGGCTGACTCGCCAAATGCCTTTTCAGCATCGAACATTCGGCAGAAGCTAGTAATGTTTTCGGACATGTGTTCAGTCCATGTCTTGATGGCTATGTCAAGTAGGTCCGGGGCCCCTCACGTGTCCCACGGGATCTCCATCGGGGCTGCGGGGATAGTCGATGGAGACGCCAATAGAGCGGTAGACTTTCATCGTGACCTCCGGATCTTCTCACGAAGAATCATGCATTGCCGATTCAAGGTGTGCCAACAAACACAGAAACACGCGGAAGGGGCTGCCAGATTGGGGATACGTCAACGCTAAACATAGTTTTATAAAGTCATTGATTGGATACTGGTCAGTTGGAAGGTCAACTTCTTTTAACACCCACATGGAGCCTAAAAAATCCTCAGCAGCTGTTCTCCCTGCACCCAACTACTTCGCCCTGCGCTCCGCCACCGGCACACGCCTCCTCGCGCTTTCCGTTGGCGATCAAGGCGTTGTGCTTGTCTACATAGTCCAGAAGCGCTGAGACGAGCCTGGCAACTTGCCATCCGCATCATGGAGTGCTTCCCCCAAACTGGAATGCCACTCTCAATCAGGAAGATTGCAAACGCCAAGCCTTTCCTGATGACATGTTCTGATTTGTTTGGCGATTTCCTTGCTGGTGCTCAGTTGGGAATGAACCGGAAGTGGATTCTTTTAAGGGAAACCAAATCTGGGATGGTTTATTTCGGGCTCGCTCCATGTCTCATCCCCTGCCTATCGCGCACCAGCAAGTCCAATTTGATTTTTACAACAGCGACACGCGGTTTTTCCCCCAACAGCTGAAAGCTTTGGGGTCGCAGCCCAGATAGGCTCCGGGGTGGTTCGGGGTGGCCCGGACGTAAGGTTCCACGAGGGTTCCACCAGGGTTCCACCAGGGTTCCACGCTGCGGGGTGGTGCGAGCACTAAAAAGAGCACCGCATGCTGTTGGGGGTATCACCTGAGCATTTTTATTGTTCTTTTTTTTCGGAAGCCACCACACAGCTTGGCGATAGGCATCAAGTTGCCAAGTTTCGGTGGAGACCACTGCCGCCCTGCTCCGCCGCTCCCCGAAACGAGACGAGCACCGCCTGCGGGAGCGCTGGAAGAGCTCCGGCTCCAAGCAGCCCCATGGGCACGCGCCCACCTGTCGGCAAGCGGGGCTTGCCCCGGTCAAGCCGGGCAAGCTCCACAGGTGACCTGTTGGGTAGACAAGGATATGGGGTCCTAAATGGATTAAAAAAATAAAAAACTAAACCAATGGTAAATGGAATAAAACCAATCCATGGTAAATGGATGGAGCTTGGAACCCGTCTGTTTCTAACTTTTATTTAAATGGGCACCTATGGCCAGCTCTTTACTGCTTGTGTGCACCAAATGCACCATGTCACGACACGGCACGAGTAGAAACTCTGCGAACACGGTGCGCAAAGGCCATGTGTCACGACAACGATGACTTGCCATGTGCGCAGCGAAAAGGCAAATGGTGTTGGGCACAAATGCTGAAAATTGTGATCAGAATGCGCTCGGTTTGCGTGATTCTGAGCACCAAAATCTCAAGGCCTGAAACACTGAGTCGATTGCCAGGACATCATCAAAGGAAAGGATGGCTATGTATGCATGGTTCAGTGCGCATGACTTGCACAGCGCATGTTTCCATATCTGTGTCGAGAAGACTGCTCCGTGCAGAGTACGTCCAGTGTTGCATGAGCGTGGGATCAATACTTGGGGAATCCTGTTCTTGACTTGTTGGCTCCAAAGCACATTGAGTGCGAAGAGCGCAAGTGATAGAAACGGAGCTCTTGTCAGGGCAGATCACCAATCAGTACCTGTACTTTTGGCCCTCACGGACTTCGCGGTTGCTTTCTCCATGGACTCCCTTCCGAAGAACTGCATTCGCGAGTCAGGTTGAACCTAAGGCCCATCTCGCAGCTTTCAGGCCTTTCAGGTTTGGATCTGAAGCAAGTCCCTTTCCGTACTTAAGCAAGAAAACGTGTCTAGGACTCGGGAAGGGTGACCCACTTACATGAGAAATGAGAAATGGTTTGCTCCCGAACAGAGCCTGCTTCTTGCCCCGGCCCTGCTGCCGCGGTCAAAACTGCCTGTGCCCCAGTGGGTGCGACACCAGGCCTGTCCACCTCACCAATGGCTAACACGATGACCAGTGTCCCAACAAAGCATTGGTCGAGCCCCGCTTCGATCGATCGCCTCAAAGGTGAGGCCGCTCCGCCCGACCGAAGGGCACAAGGGCCAGTCTGGTTGGTCGTTCCACTCCACGATCTGAGCGGCGATCCGCGATCCGCCGACCCCATGGGCAATGCTGATGCTTGCTTGCCTGCCCACGGTTTCACAATTGCCCATCTTTGCCACTATTCACTGAACAAGGTGCCTAGGCGAGCAGCCCATATTTTGGCAAGACGAACAAAAAACACGAGGAACGCAATGCAGCGTTCAACGGTCAACTGTCCAGCTTATTTCTGCAATTTCTTATCAGGGATTCCTTTAAGTTGAGGGCATGCATTACAGTGCAGAACGCTACATTAACATGATGTTGCTGCGTGGGCAGCATAGAGCCTTCTACAAACTGAGCGTGCAAGTTATCACTTTGGGCAACTCACGCCTCAAGCAAACCGGGCTGCTTGTGACCATGCTGATGGGCCACCCGCGGCTCAGGTAAATGTATCTTCTCTTGAGCGTGGCAGTGTGTCGTTTTGATCTACCTATTTCTTCAGCAAACCGGTGACCTCCGGAGCTCGCACTGACTGCGGCATTTAGGGTGGCCTATTGTCAAAGTAGGTGGGGGCTCCTTTTGAGCGCCTATGACTCAAACAAAGTGAAGCATTTGTTCAGGCCTAACCTGCTTTCAACCACAACGAACTAGCGCTTCTGGTTTCCACATCGCAGTCATGACCTTTTCAGGTCGACGACTCCCGAACCGGCGCGACTAAGCCGGCGCCTATCCAAATGCGCGCCTTCAAGGGGGGTAACTGTTGCCGTAGACAAAAACAAGAACACCTTGAAGCTTGAATGGCCGCTTGACATTGCTATTGACTTGTGAATTCAATGACAGTTGCAGGCGTACACCAATAGATGTCCTCCTGATGTTTCTGCAACATGGTCTCTGAGAGTCAAGTTGACCCTGCTGCAACAATTCTGAATGTTGTATGTGACTGCTTAGCATCTGCTGGTGCATGCTCTCGCCACTTCCAACAAGGGCAATCTCCCCCTCAGCCGGGTTGGGCCCAAGCACTGAGCGCCCAGCTCGCACCGAGTCGTCCAAGGTGCTCAAGTGATGCCCAATCTCATGGGCAAACCTGAACCATCTGATCATCTGCAGAGATCGTTCAGAAAAAAAGGTCGACATGCCATGTGCTCAACTTAAAGGAAGCAAGAGTTCCAAGCACGATGATCTTTGTCTGCTCGGTGTCGTTTTACAATATGTTGTTTTAGGTGCGAGGAGGCTACCAGAGCTCGAGTTGCCACCCCAAGCAAGAGCTACATTGCATGGCATGGCCCAAATACAATTATGCTAGTGCGCAGCAACCACTCTAGCACAATGCATGGGTCTGTAGTTATTCTGTATAATCTAAAAAGTAATCATAGAGTAAAATGTGTTGGGAGCGGACTTCTAAAAACGACAAGGCTTCGCGAACTCATGATGTAAACAGTGTTGAAAGCACCGTGTTCTTGCGAATCTTAATTTGCCAGTTCCAGCTACAAGAAAAAAATAAACAAAGAAAACAAAAGAAAGAAAGAAAGAAAGAAAGAAAGGAAGGAAGGAAGGAAGGAAGGAAGGAAGGAGGAAGGGAGGAATGATTTCAGGAAGGGGACAAGATGGATGGGACATGCTTGCAAAACCGCTAGCCTCACCGGCGTATTACGCCAAGCCCTCACAGTGGAAGATATATGGTTTATGTAAAGACTGCACGCATTGTAAACGTCACAGCATCATCAAAGGTAACACGCATACTCCATTTCTGAACTGACCTGCACGTGCGGGCAGAAACAAACTATGTACCACTCCCAAAGGATCAAAGCATCAAACAATGCAATCCGAAACATAGCACTGCCGCAAAATCCTCCATCTGAAGCCTTGCTAATCCATTGTGTGTGTTTTGGGTATCCACAAAGATCCAAGCTGTTGGAAAAGGGGCCCATTGGCTTTGCCATTCTTTGAAACTCGAAAGGCTAGTGCCTAATTCTGGGACACATGTGGCCATTTCAAGCAGCTCCCACCCCCAACCCCCACCCCACCCAGCCCAAAACCTCTGCCGAGACACTCATCATCCGGGGCCATGAGCAAGGCCACGCCTGTGGCAGCAGTGGTGTTGTGCAGGTCGATAACCAGATCCTGCAGCAAAGCATGCGGCCATAATTGGGGCGGGGGGGAGGGTTGGGGGCGTTGGACGGTTGCGGGGAGGGGGGCCTTGGGAAAGACTAGATTGCCAGCTGTCAGGCCCAGCGTGGCTTTGCAAAGCTAGCTCTGATTGGAGGGCTGGGGCGGAACAAACCATGCATAGCTGGTAGATGCGGCTGATAGCTGAGTCACTATAGTCCCCTGAAATGGTCGGTTCCCATAAATACCACCAAAAGCTCCGAATCCTAAACCCTAAAGAGCAAACATGTGTGTTTGGATCAGTAGCCTCGGCTTTGTGTAGCTGAGTGAGCAGTTCTCCAAAGATCCTCACCTGAAAAAAAGTCCCATGACATACCAACCCAAAAAAATCCACCGAACCGCGGCACCAGAAACGCAGCCGGAGGCTTTCTGGGCCCCGGCGCAGCGAGGAGACTCTGAAGCCTTCGGGCCCAAGACCGCATCCACCTGACGGCGGTCACTCCGAGGTAAAGCGGCATCCCCCCTTCAGCGGCTCCAAAAAAGGCTGCACCAGGGGCCAAAACGGGGCCATACGCGGGACCTCCTGAAAGCTTGAAAGAGGCGCTTTTGCTGGTCATCTGGCTTGGTAATTTCACTTCAAGCCTTGGATGAGTCAAATCGGAACGCGCACATTCTCCAGCTGTGACGGTTCAGGGATACTATGTTGAATGACAGTTGAAAGCGAATGTCACATGACCATTACGTATCACGTGTAAGGACTGAAACCTTGATTACCATAGACTGAGAACAAAGATATATGAAATGTTTAGGACGTTATGTTATATAACCGATAGACCACCAAGAATGGTTTTCGCCTCATCTTGGGCAAAGCCCTGCCTTCTGGATCTGTTGATGAAACCGCTAATCAGTGAACGGCACCGTGCAAACAGTATTTTGAGGAAGCTCAAGTGAATGCATCTGGAAATCATGTTTTTGTGCGTACAGCTCAAGCACTGTCTTGATGATTGCCAGATACACAGAGCCAGCTTTGGTAGTCAAAGGCAAACAAAAACCAAGCCAGGTTACACGAATCCCGGCAACAAGGAATCGCTATGCAGGATCTGTTCTGGGAAGAATCTGCAAGAAAGGTCGCCGCCATTTGCCCAAGTGCAGGAAACCTCCATTCTGACCGTGAAAAGCAGACGCAAATGGGTACACGATAGGGTGTGCCCTTAAGCCTGCGGGTCGAAAGGGTCTGCCAAGGATCTACATAGGTTGCGCTTCAAATCAATGGATCCTTGTCCGTGGAGAAATCTCCACAAATCAAAGCTCTTGGCCCAAAACAAATCACCATGGATGTGTGTTTTGTGCTTAAGTACTTGGGTGTTCGGCCAAGTTGGTAAGCGGTTAGCCAAGTGGGATTTAGCCCACTATTGACTGGGTTAACCCCACTTAAAGCGCTTAAAGAGGCTTATGAGCGGGCTATGACCTAGGTTGCCAACAACTTACCAACTTGGCCGAGTACCCAAGCAGTGAGCCCAAAAACATTCTTTGGGCTGGGAGCCCCGCCTCACGCGCGCGCTTGCGCTCCAAGCTGGACTTGGACTTCTCCTCACTCTGCAGGTCGGCCAGGAGGTAGCACCTGCGTGTCACCCCTTTGTTTCTGGGCTGCCCGTTTTCAGATCCCCCGCTCAAAGTGACTCACTTGTGGGTCAAAGGGAAATAACCACTAAGCACTAAAAAGCTAAAAAGCTGAGGGGATGACTGGGACCCACGAAGGTTTGGGGGCCAGGCACGTGCTTGAAGGATGGCTGGCCTTTGCAGGGTGAACCCAAACATACAATACAATTGGATTTGCTTAGGGAAAGGGTTGGGCCTCAATGTCAGACCAAGCGTAGACAACCATGCACCCACAACAAACTGTGTTTCGATACCTGATTTGGATGCCAGACTTGGTCACCACATGGCACCATCTCTTTTTGCGGTAGAGATGGTGACACGATGAATGTGCATGATTGGGTCATTGTATTGCAGGCCGTATAGTACTGTTGCTATCAATGTGTGCATGGCGCTGTTCGCTGTCACTGTTGATGCCCAAAACACGTGGGAGCCACCGACGAACCATGCCACTGATCAAAAGGCGTCACCTGTTCAGGTCCTCCTCCACATAGCGAGTGTTCTGCTTGATGGCAGCAACATTAGACAGGATCACCTGCAGGAGCCGGGGACAAATTCAGAGCTTATGCTCCTGCTGTCCTAGCTGTGAGGCTCAAGTCGCTTTTGCCGCTTTCTTGGTTGGCCAAGAGCTTTTGCCTACAAAATTCGGGCACAAAATGCTGAGGCCAGCCCAAATGTAGGCCCGGTCATATCAACTGAACCCCCTTCCACGGCAGTCTTTGCGTCTCTGACCCCTGCCTCTGTCTCGAAAGAGCTGCGCTTCACCAGCTGAGGGTTCCTGCGCGAAAGGTGCTGGCCATTGCCAA